CATTCCTTCTGCAGAAGATCAAAATTGCGACGGCATGTCTTCGAATCACCAAAGTAAATAAAGAAACCTGATGCAATACCTTTCACTGATTGGTGCCAAAGTTATGGCAAACAGTACTAATCTAACAAGTAGTTAATAACAATTGTTTGTGTCAACAACAATTGCCAAAAGAAACAAAATTACTTTAAAAAAATATGCAGTTGTTTACCTGGGAGAGACTACGAGTTAGCCCTTACATTTTATACTCTGTCATGATGGGGTTTTTTTCTTTCTCGTAAGCTGTTGCCTAGTTGTGGGCTGAAATTTGATAAAGGTACGCAGGTAGCAATCTATAAATCTTTTATGCTATATCATGTACTGTGCTTTTTTATCAGTAACTAAAATGATTTATGTGAGCAAAAATTTATATATAGGTAATACTTCCATATCGGAATATGTTTGGGTCAACAACAATTGCCAAAAGAAACAAAATTATCTTTAAAAAATATACAGTTGTTTACCCGGGTGAGATTACAAGTTAGCCCTTGAATTCCATACTCTTTCATGATGTTTTTTTTCTTTCTTGTAAGCTACTGCCTGGTTGTGGGCTAAAATTTGATTTAGGTACACAGGGAGCAATCTAAAAATCTTTTCTGCTAATAGACAAACATATTCTTTTTTAAATATTAAAAAACCTGAGGTCTATAACGAACAATGGTTGCATGAGTGACTTACAAAACATCATTGTAAAATAGTTTATCTACTTAATACTAAGTCTCATAATCAAGTATTAATGTTGCTTACACAAATAGAAATAATATATATATATATATATTGCATTGATATATATTATATTGAAATTATGCAGATTCCTTAATGTTGTGCATTCATAGGAAACACACATAAGAAAATTATTTATAAAGATATGTGATCAACAAATATACTAAAATGAGGTTCTAAGATTGTGTGTCTCGTGCTGTGTGTGAGTCCTATAAAAATTTTACTTTGTATATTTATTGGAAAAACTTAATTATTAGTAAATTTTCTTTAAGAAATTTTATTTCAAAACCAAATTTATAAACAAGTTAATTTTATGTCTATAATACCAATGTTGATTATATTTCTATTACTTACCTTCACTTAATTGGTAACTGTTAAGTTCTAACAAAAATCATAGCAAAATCAATCATAATAATAAAATGTTCCATGCATGATAGAAAAATTATTTTTCACTCATTTTCATTTATATAGAATGAAAAAAAATCAGATTATTTTATTAAATGTATTTTTGTATAACACATAAAGAGAAATAAAGTAATAAAAACAAGCATACATGTTATTATACATCAATTTTATTTATAAAGCACTTTTTTATTCAGATTTTTATTTGCCATGTGAAGTTTTTATTTAAAAATTCATTATTTCTTAAAATTTTCTTTCTGAAATAAGTCAGATAAGTATTATTTTATTTGCAATAGAATATAGACCAATGTTCATTGTTCAATATTTAAAATATAATGTTCTGCATGAGAACTTTTCTTACAAACACACAACAACATTTAACAAAACCGAATTCTATCTCATAAAAAAACATTTCTTTCTTGATTAACTATGCAATGATTCTAACATAACTAACTTTATTTTCATTATGATCGTATCTACAAAATGTAAACAAAACATCCCAAGACTTTTACAAATAGTGACAGATACGATTCCTTCCACCTGATTGGGTGAATTTATCAACCAGGCAAAATTCTGGTGCAAATACATCCGATAAGCGTGGTCTTGCTCCAGTCTCGTTAAACCTCGGCAAAACCACGTTTGAGCAACGAAGACTAGTTTTTCGTTTAGACCGGGTGTACGTAAACCGCGGAACTGGGGTTTAAACTACCGAATTTAGACTGCGTTCTGACAATTCAGCCATTAGGTTTGGTGGGGAGAATACACTCATGAGCCTCTTTATAAATGACACAATGAGGAAAAATTTGAAAAAAATATGACAACCAAAGCTGACGTCGTCAGGGGGTACCATCTTCGAATATCATAAATTCAAAACTTTTTCTATCGAGAAAGCCAAGACAAAAGTCAAAAAGTTGCTTTCTCTGTACCCCAAAAGTTTCGCCAAAGTCCAGGAAAAGAATGCATAAAATACAAAAATAAAAACATAGTAGAATACAATATAAAATACAAAGGCATATACAGTAGAATTAAAACAAGACAAATACAGAAGGAAAGTAAGAAAGAAAGTACTTGAAATAAAAAAAATCCCATAGTTCAATTTCACGCCCGACTGAAAGACGGAACTGAAATAAAATAAGCATACTAGAATATTTACAAAAAAAAAAAAAAAAAAAAAAAAAAAAAAAAAAAAAAAANAAAAAAAAAAAAAAAAAAAAAAAAAAAAAAAAAAAAAAAATTCGTTGGAATGGCAGTCAATTTGCGAATTATCAGCTAAAGGACAAGTTTTGCAATTTTTATTTTTAAATTTTTTATACTTTTTAAATATTGTTATATTATTTCTTAATTTATTTAAACATAAAATTTGACTTAGTATCTTTTTATCCGAAGTAATCCCCTAGTCAAGATTAGCATCAGTGCTCCTTGTTTGGGAGCGCAACGTGCCATGCGCCATGAAATAATCATTAATTGTACTTTGCATAGAAAAGGAAAAAAATATAAACATAATTAATTCAAAGCCACCAAGAAAAAAATCCTTATGACGTTAAAAGAAAAAAACTTTAAAAGACACTAAAAAACTATTAAAAATCAAATGAATTTAAAATATTTCGAAACAGAAAAAACGGAAAATTGTAGCTAAAACCAGATTTGAAAACTACAATTAAGAAAAGAATTCAAAATATTAAAGCAATTAAAATTAATAATAATAATACATTCAAATGGAGAAATGCGCTTAGCAGCAGTGAAACAAAGTGGAATTGAACAAATGAGATAATGAAGAAAATTTTTAAAAATATTGAAGAAACATTACCACCAGAGCTGACGTCATCAGGGGGTACCAACTTCGAATGTCATAAATGCAAAACTTTTTCTATCGAGAAAGCCAAGACAAAAGTCAAACAATTGCTTTCTCTGTACCCCTAAAGTTGTGCCAAAGTTCAGGAAAAGAATTCATAAAATACAGAAAACACAGTAGAATACAATATAACTCTTTCGTTTTGAATTTTGTTTGCCTCATAACAAGCCTCATAAAGAAGGTTATTCCTTAAGCAAAGGGAGAGAGTGTTCAAAAAGTACGTAAAGAGCTTTGTTTTGTGTATTTATAAGGAAGGGAAAACATCTTCACACGCTTCGAAAACGGTTTTGGTTCTCATGAAGAGAAAAGAGCTGGCTTCACAAGGAAAATATTTACATTTCTGCTTTAAGATCGGTTTACAGTTAACTTATCTCCATCTCAAAAAAAAATTGACCAGTTGTCCTTTGTTTTCTGTTTGAAGTAATTGAACTTACGCGTACTCATGTTTTTCGTGTGATCTTACCTTTCTTTTCAATCTGAATCTTGCTCCGAGGTATCCATATTCGAGCTTTATTTATATTTCTAATAAAACAACAGTGATTTCTTTCTTGCCTTAAATTGGTTTCTTTTATCCCTTCAGGACAGGCGATTAATAAAAGCATTCGTTCTAAATCAGAATTAGGATGGAAGAAAGTTAAAAGCAATAGCTTAACTCTTTCCATCCCTAAACCTGAAACGCTCAATCAAGCAGATTCTCATTGTGAGGCCTGAATTTTGTCAATCTTCCCTCCCTCTTAAAACTGTTTTTTGAAGCTCTGTCACCATGGAAAATAAAAAAGCCATAGTTTAAGTGCATTACACTTGAAGCAATGCAATGCTTTTAAACTATATACATATAATCTTGCCCAGAAGAATTATCTGGACTTTAGAACAGACAAATAACTTATACTTTAATTATATTTAATAATAATAATATATTTAATAGTAAGTATTTTTAAAGTTATTAAACTTTTTTGAAAATCGCCATCGGTGACATTTTTCACCTAGATGCAAATTATCAAAATAGTTGCCTTATTCTCAGCTTTTGCAGATTTTTATGAGCCTAGATAATGGAACATTGGAATAAGTATTTAAATATTAAAAAATTAGACCATAAACGCTTTTCATTTTCACAAAACCGTGACTTTTCTCCATATTATCGTTTTGCTCCATCTTCAAAATAAGCATTGACAGCGCTGGCTTTAGATAAGCTAAGCTTGAACTAACAGTCATGAGTACAGTTGCAAACTCACAGAAGTTATAAAAATAGCATATTATTCTCCAAGAAGCCTAATTTCATATTACAATGGAGCCTTCGAAAAACAGCCTTAAATGCGCAGCTGGAATCAACCACAGAATCATAAGAGTAAAAACTCTCCAAAAAACCTTTTGTGGTGTAGGAGACTATTAACAAAATGAAGTTTTATTCTTCGACTAGATAGTTCTTTTCCTTATGTAGTTGGTAACTCTGATTACTCTAATTTAACTTCTTTAAAATTTGCTAAATTTAAATCAATAATGATCCATGAAAGTTCTTTTTGTCTTTTAGGGGATACAAGTGGGAATGATAGATACTTCAAAATATTGTAGGGGGCATATTACTCTTCCTTTGCCAATGACGCCTGTAAATTTTATGTCATTGTTGCCTAAATTAATTCGAAGACTTCTTTCACAGTTTCACTGAGTAAATTCAAAAATTCTTGCATTTAAGGGCCATTCTAACAGCTCGCGGTCTACGAATCTCTGATCGCCTCTGGTGCATTATGAGAACATGATGGGTGAGGAAATGCATTTTCTCACAAAAACTCACGATAGCGAATGGAAGTGCGGCAATCATATGTAGTAAGAACGCCTCTTTCGGCAGATCCATTTTTATGGAATGATTGCAGTGCCATCTATGTATCATTGCCATTTATATATCATTTTCATTAAAAGGCTTTACTGTTAGCTTTACTTAATTCCCTTTCGTTTTAAAAATCCCTTTTACGACAGGGGAAAAGACAACAAGCGTGTTTTCAATTCAAGTTGCATGCCTTCTAGGTATAGGATACGCGGTTGCCAAATATTCCCGAGAAGGTCTTAAAATGGCTGCTCTTATAGAAGGGCAACAATATGGCCTATCCGCTCAAGATAAGATTAATAGTAATAAATCTATAGTATTTGTTAAATTAACGGATTCTGCATTACGGTCAATTGAGGAATATGTTAAAAATAAGGTAAGGATAATTAGTTTGTAATCTGTCTGTCATTTCTGGTTCTTCCTAATTTGATTTGAGCAGGTATGCTTACACGTAGATATTTGTGTCATGGAATTTGCTTTAAAATTAATTTATTTATATTCTTCGAAATTTTGTAACATTTGTAATATAAAAACTGTATTTTAAATTTTGATATCTACGTAGGGAAATTAAATGAAGGCATATTTCGACAGATGTCAAATATAATATTGTGTACGTGTTTGGTAATCCGTTTAACTCAAATTTCTGATCTAATGTAACTTGATGCTTAGAGCGATAGGATTTATCAAAAATGTAGCCTGAATCTTGTTTTGTATACCAATTTGTTACATTGCAATTTATTACGTTATTATTTTATAGTTCGACGAGAGTTTTTAGAATCAGCTGATTTTTGTAAACAATTAATATTTCTGAATCTTTCTTGTTTGAGAGAATGACGGATTATTTGTGTTTGCCTTAGAATTGTGTAACAAATACAGATTTTTTTTTTCATTTTTAAAAATTTGCTCTCATTTACGATTAAAATTTCACCAACATATGTTTTAATTTGTTCGATTTTGATATTTATTAGAGTGGTAAATTTGAATATGAGAGTTGAGAATTTTTGTTTACTTTCTGTTTTAAATACGGTAATTGTGTATTTCTCAAAAATATTCACCTATTTTTATTATATTTAAAATATTGGGTGAGTATTTTATTATTATTATATTCATAATGTTTATTTATTTAGTAACTAACTGTTTGTAATGCTAATTCTTCGAATGTGATAATATTTTTGTTTGTTTACTTACTTATATAAAGTTTTACTGCTCTAAAAAGGATGTATCATACTTTTAAACACTTTATTTTCATCCTTATAGTTAAATTAAATTGTGCATATGTTATTATTTTTTTTTCAATTAAAGTAAGTTAACACCTTTATGCCTGGATTTGGAGAATTTGTAATATAAGCTCATTAAATTAAGAAATGAAAAACAATTTTATTTCAATTAACATTCAGTGTGCTCTATCATGCTAGTCAAATAATAAATTTAACTGCATTTTTATAAATATATTTTTTTTTTTGTTTAATCAAAAAGTAAAAACCTTATTGGTAGAAAAGTGATTCTAAGCAGTAAGTTTATTTATATCCTTTACCAAATTACTATTCTATTTTGTTCAATTATAAGATACTGCAATGTAGTCAAATATAATTTTAAGCAAATAGGTTAAAATAATGAAAATTGAGAATAATTAAGTTTTTCCGCAGAAAGATGAATAATTTATTTGATCATTATATGGTATTAAGATGTCTTTATATTATCTCATAAGTTACAAGTATAATTTGAAATAATTATTTTTTATAAATTTTTTAACCTAGGTAATTTTTTTTCCCTCACTCCCAACTTTTACCACCTACAAAACAAAAATAATTTCTCACTGAAATACCAGTACTTTCCTTGTTCAACTTTAATCTGTTCAAATCAACGCTTGTAATGTTTCTTCGTTGTATTAAGTTAATTATTAGCTCAATCAAAGCGATTTGGAATGTTACATATTGATGGCATTATTTTTAATTTGAGAACTGATAAAACTACACAAGGAATTTCCTTACAATTCAAGAACTCCAGTGTGTGAAAGCATCTGAATATGTTAATTGGATAATGGTTAAATTAATATTCTCATTCCCTTATTTAAATTTAAGAAGTTTTATTTTCTAAAAATGTATAATTAGTGTCTTTAATTCTTGTAATGAGATTATGCCTGTAATGAAAGAATTTATAATTTTTTTTCTCTGAATAGCAGCCAGATGCAAATGTTTTTCTCATTCTCTTACCTATTCCCTCATTATGCAAGAATGACACTTTTGTGATTTCTGAAGTTTATTTTTGTAAAAATGTTTTAGTAGGTGTTTAAGTTTATTCTCTTGGGATAGTTTACAAAATCTATATTTTAATTTAATTATGTGTATAAATTCCAAATCAAACAATGCTTATTTTTTTTATTTTCACACTTTATCACTATGAGAAAATGACACTTTAGTGATGGATTAATTCTAATGCTTTTAAAGACTAGTTAAAGAAGTTATTTTTATTTGTTTTGTTATTTTAAAAAACACAGTTAAAGTGAATATAATTAAGTATATTCTTTAAAATAAATATTCTAACAAAAATGATTATTCCTTAATATATACCTATTAATTACTTAATATATACCTATTTCTAGTAGAAGTTTGATCATTTGACTGGCTATGGTAGAAATTTTCTATGATCAAACTTTATGATTAGATGATCAAACTTTATGTTTCTTGATTGAATGTATGAAATATGGGTGTTAGAAAGGAAATTAACTAAAAGAAGTTTATTATAATTAAACAAAATTGTATATTGCCAATTTTATGTGTTACAAATGCGAAGAATAAGAATTTTCAATTCATTGCTTAACATAATTTTTACATCCAGGGTGTTTCCATTGTATATTTTCCGCAAACATATTTCTTCTAATTAATATTTCATACTATAATTCTTATAATTATTCTTAAAATTATTAGAATTATAATTCCTATAAGTATTCTTATGATTAATATTATTTCTTCTAAGAACTTTTGCTGTCTTGATTGTTTCTTTCTACATTTTTCTGGGTAAAAACCAGCAGTTAGTTAGAATTGAATTAAATCTATCAAAATAAAATGCAAGCTACTTACCAAAACATTTAGTTTTTGCCACTTTTTCTTATACAAAAACGCCAATCTAAAATTTTAGGTACTTTCTTGAAATTTGAATTCACAGTTAATCTGACTGAACTGACTATGCAACAGTCTTGGTAGAAATATGCAATAATCGAATGCAATACGTTGAACGCGGATTACATCGTAGTTTCTGATCCGAGGACCTTATACAGCACTAAATTATTCTCCCGGTTAAATGACCGGTTGTGGTAGAAATAGGTATAGTGTGTCTACGGTAAAAACTCCCCCAGCTACAAAGTCTGAGGCCACCTGCTGCTATAAAAAAAATTCAGAGGGGGGGGGGTAGCTTCTCTTTATTCCCGAGCTAATACGTAACATTGGAGGAAAATATTATCTTTCTCTCACCGACCTGAGCCAAAACCTGTCCTAAACAGTGACCCCACACCTATACTTGAAATAGTTATACCTTGTTACTATAGTCACCGCCACGAGTCCAGACGAATGGCTAGGGGAGTTCTTACTTAAGACAAATTATATATGACAAGTATTATTCAAAACAAACAAAATACAAAAAAAAAATCTGTATATAATTGTTAGAAAAAAATCATGAAGTCAATTGTGCCAAAAACGATAAGAGCATTTTCGATGCAAAAGCTCTTAAGTAGTCATGTGTTTAGTGTTAAGTTTTTGGACTACTAAGTGAATCTAGGTGGTCTTATTGAATCATCAACTTTTCATTGTTGGTGTGACCCTCATTCATCTGTATTAAACTATCAACGTTATTCATCATTATCATCTTATGATCTTTATCTACTATAAAAAATTTTTATTAGTATTGCCCGCACTGTCCAAGTGCAATAAAATTGTAAATTTGGCAAATTGTTATGGTGAAAGTATTGACGAATGATTTTTTCCACTGGAAAGAAATTGAAATTATGTCAAAATGAATTTTTCTAAGCAAGTCACTAGTTTTTATTCAATTACAGTAATTTTTGGTAGTTGTGCTGTATAAACAAATAATATTAGCCTGTAACAAACAACCGTAAAATAGTTGTCTATTCGAAAAAAAATTAATCATAAAAAATTGGTAAGATTTGCATTTTGTAAGACTTTTGAAAATTAGCTAATATTTGGCTAATTTACTGGTTAATAAGTTTAAATCATTAGTACAGGTCGTGCATTAGCATTTATTATTGGTTATAAATTTTTAAAAATTTTAATAGTATTTTTGCGGCGTTTTTAAATATGATTTTTAAATTTAAATATTCAGATTAATTTCAAAACCAGTTTTATTTTTCTATAATGTAGCCTGATAAATTTGTAAATCTGAAGAATTCATTATTAATTTATGCTGTACCTACCTAATTTTATATCTATATAGTTTTTTCTTTCTTATTTGCATTATCTGTTTTATTTTGTGAATTTGTATTATTGTTTTCATATTTTAAGTTTAGTTCATATGTATTTTGTGCTTAGTAATTATTATTATTTTTTAGGGTGGTGCTGGGAATAAACCTACTATTCAATTCCAAAATTCTAATGGGGTAAGTACAGCATATGTTAATTCTATATATTTTTCTATTAGGGTTATTTATTATGGTTTTTCTATGAATTGGTTAATATTTTTAAACTAGTTCTCTTTTTGATATATTTTTTTTAAAGCTTTTTATTTTATTCAATCAAGTTTTAGCATTTAATGAGATCCCATGAAATATGTTTGATTTTAGTGTACATTTGAAAAGTACAACCTTTATTGTTAAGTAGAAATGCAAAAGGTTAGAATTTGATATAAATTTTATATTTTCTAGAATTTTGTCATAATTTGTGTTATTGCTTTCATAAAAATAACGATGCAAAGCTGCAACTTTGCATTTGTACTTGGGGTCAAGAGCTTTTTTAGGCCATTTGAGGCATTTTATTTTCTTATCAGATGAAAGTTAATATTTTTTGAAAATAGAATTTGTATTCTTAACTCTCTAAGTAAGAGAAAGGTGTGCATAGGAAAACACATGAACAAACAAAATTTAATATAACTATTGCTTAAACTTAAACATTATGTTTGGTGGTAAAAAAAATGCTTAATACTGTGGCATTTCCGACGAAATATGTAAACAGCTGGCTTTCATCTACCCAGTATAATTTAGTTGAAGGGTAGGCCATACAATGAAATGCAGATAGGCGAAAGTTCCATTTCTTATTACCTCTCCCTTATAATTAAAAATGAATGTTGCGCATTATGATTATTGATTTGGGTAGATCCGATTATTGATACTGGTCCCATCCCAAAAACCACTTAATATCTTATTATTTATTTATGTTTTATTTTGAAATTTTTTTTTTATCTACTTCTCTATTTCTTCTATTTTTGGCATATATTTGTGTTATAGTGCATAAGTGGTATCACAGATAAAGAAGTTAAAAGTATTAAATGTGTACTGATCAATTATAAAAATATGAAAAGTTAACTGGGAAGAGAGTACCTCATTTTTATTTTCTTTCATTCCCATGACAAGTTTTAGTAACAGTCTGATCCAGTTTTCCTAATTTACTAGGCCGGACAGTTGAAGCCTGCTGTATTTCAAAATTCGGTACCAATTGGTGAATAAGACAGGAAATATGTCATCAATCTTGATACTGCCAGGTATAGAGTTATAAGGTTCCTGTTGGTTTAAGGTTTACTGGTACTATTTATAAGTGCTGGTATATTTTGTTAAGTTTTTACTTTATTTTGAGAGTTCTAGATGGATGATCATTGATATTTTTATCTATTGTTTTTTCAATTAAGTAAGCAGGAACAAAAAAACGAGCTGAAATCTTATTTTTACTTTGAAGGCTAATTTGAATACTCTGCTGAGTTTAAGAAGGAGAATTAGAGATTATTTTGAGAATTATAGGTGAATAATCATAAAAATGTTATGGTATGTGTTCGGGATCTTCTGTCTAGTTAAAAGGTTCAATACCCTAACAGAAGTAATATAGCACACTAGCACATTTATTTAGGTTTTGAAAACATTAAAGAAGTTAGGTTTACATAGGTACAGATAAGTTTAATTTGAAAACATCTCTCCGGCAAAGACCTTGCTTTTCCTTATCTTGTAAGTTTCAAATTATTTTTGCCTTCTTATTTAGTAGTTCATTTAATTTATTGTTTATTGCAGCATTAGACATTCTCGTTTTTTAGCAGTATGAATGGTATGCTCTGGCTGATAAATTTTAGAAATTTTTCCATTGTGTAGCACATAACTACAGGAGTTTCTGCTACTGCGGTCAATACAAAAGTAAACATAAATTTCATGTTTAATAATAAACATAGTTGACAAAACTTTTAAAAAAAATAATCATGAATGTTCATATCCCAGCTTAAAACCACTCTTGAATATTATGTTAAGCAATAAAATACTATTAAAAACTGTATACCGGTCAATGATCATAAAAATGTTATTTTGGGACTTACGGTCAGTATTGTCATTACAAATGTAAACACAAACAAAGATATGCTCAAGATCATGTCTATTTCCACTTTGGAAATCACTGCTTGATAAATTTCGCTAAGCTTAAAATAATGTTTCGTTTTTTATGTTATCAATTGCTTTTGACATGACTAGTGTTTTAATACTCAACCATGAGATTCTTCCTACTTTTGGCACTTACTGATTTCCTACTTATTAAATTTTGGAGGGAATTAAAGTTTTTAAACTATATTATTTTATTCACTTTTATTATGATTTACGTGTAAAGCTTAACAGTTTGTTGGACCATTAATGTATACATATAGTAAAAAAAAAATATGTAAATAATTTAAATGTTTTCTTCCTGTAAAATTGGATTAATTTATTAGTAAAAAACATCTGAAAAAACATGGGTGGGATTTTGCAGGCCAGACACACTTTGGCAAACACTATTGCCAGCCCTGGCTTAAAAAGTTTCTAGATTATTTAAAAAAACAACATATAAATGATAATAAATATGCTGTATTTTTTTGTTATTGGTTTATGATGGTGTTTCTGATGAAAGTAGGCCTAAACAAATGCCAGGTTGAGATCCCTTTTCGTACTTCAATGCCTTAGTTTGAATGTTTTGCTGAGTTTAAAAGGCATAAATGATAGATTTATAAAAAATATAGGTGAATGATTGACTTTAAAATTAATGGTTCTCCCTGTTTAGTGTGTTTTGGATGTAAGCATGAATTCAAATTTGCTATGATATATGTTATGTTTATTCCTTTCTTCAATTTAAATTTCAAATATTTATTTTAAATTTCTTCTTGTAAATTATGAAAATAAGGTGCATGGTGACCATACCTGAGTAGAAATCGCTCATTTGGCTTGATTGATTACTGATATTGCGTTCCTTTGTAAGAATTTCATTTGAAACTTATTTTATTAATGTTTATAAGTATTTAAAATTGTAAGCAATTGACAACCAAAGCTAAATATGGTGACGCAACAGTATTAAAACAATGACCCAAAAGTAAGAAAAATAATTTGGTTGTTGAGAATTAGAATTACTCTGTCAAATCAACCCAACTAGATATTGCAGATATTTATACTATATTATAAAATATAAAATCAGGCATAAAAATTTGAATGAGATTTGAATAATTGAAAAAATTTGCAATAAGATTTAAGGTAAAAGAAAAATAAGATAGAATTTACTGTTAAAATAAATTTCCTTTCCCCCCCCATCATATAATGCGTTTCAGTTTCAAATTTGTATTTTATAATGATAAACAAACCAGGAATATGCTTTTTTCACAAGCATTAAAATAATAGGATGTATTTAACATCATAATTATTATTCTGTTGTCATAGCTGTTTGGATTTTCACTCCTGGATTATACAAGTTTTTACAGGTCTCCTTTTTTCTAGTGTTACTCTTTGAATATTTAAGAAAAGCTCATAAAATTGGGAAAGTTTCTGAATCAAATCCCTATCCCTTTTAAAATAAGATTTTTTTTAACTCCTTTTTAAAACATAATGCTTGAATCATACATTAAATATTCAAAAAAAATTTTTTACTCTGAATTATTTTTTCTCTAATTAAAAAACTTAATTTTGATTGTTTCAACTGTTCATTATTTTTTTAACAATTCAAGCTTTATAGTTTAAACTATTTCTTCTATTTAAAACTGTGATTTAAAAAATAGATATAATTATAAAAAAATTTATATTAAAGTCCATTTTATTTCGATTGTAGGTGAAAAATGTAATCAATGTATAGTTTTTAGTGGTATTGTTTTTTTAAAAATTTAATCTAGTATAAAAATTCCTAAATTTCCCCATGTCTAAATTATTTCAGATAATGTGCTATGTTTTTTAGTATGTTATATATTCTTCCTGCAATCTGCTAGATAGTGCTGTAACTGGGTGCTTGCAACTGTTGAAGATGATGATTACTGATAAACAGACCCGTGACCTTTTACCTCAGCACAAGCTGATTTTTTATGAACAAGATATGGTTTAATTACATAGTTTTATAATTTTATAAACAAGATGCAAGTTTGTATACAAGATAGATAGCAATTTCGATACATAATTAGTTTGTTTTACATGGCTTCTTTAGTGTCTTTGTGTTAAAAATATATAGTGAAAGAATTGAAATCTTTGTGAAAGAATATAGAATGTGTCACTCAGAAAAATGGTAATTGACGGACTTGGCTTACTCGCAATAAAATGGAAAGAATAGTTGCTAACGTAAGCAAATGCTATGTTTCAAAACAGTTATCATCGAGATGCACATATACGTCACTTGTAGGTATCCCATTGGGTTTTTCGGAGAGAAAAATACTATTACTTCCAATTTTTTGCTGGAAATGTTTGACTGGCAGATAATGTAGTTTCAGGATAAAATTAGTGGTAACAATATAAGACCTGTGACGTAGTCTATCGTATACCCAATTTCGATTATTTGCATTCTCAGAGTGTAAGAAAAAAAATGTTTTTAAAAATTTTCAGTCATCAGTTTTTATTCTCTTTGATCTAATTGCATCATATTATCTGAATCCACATATATTTTCAGGAAATTTAATCTGGAATCTCGCGAAAAAGATTAGGGAATTTTATTCTGAAAATTGAGTGGGAACCCAAATTAGAATACCCTAAATTAGTCCTAATACTTCCCTTGCTTACCCTACATTTTTGATTAACATTGTTTTTCAAAAAAAGTTTGTTTTTCTTCAGAATGGTGTAATATGTTCTTTCATAGAACCGTCAATTCCTATGCCTATGATGTAGCATAAATGGATGTTCGTATCTATCGCATTTTTATCATAAATCGAAAGTCATCATTATCGATCATAATCATCAAATTTTATCATAAATCGATCGACCCTTTACAAAGAATTATATCTTCAAAACAGACCCTTTGCACTTTTTTTGATTTTAAAAAAGATGGACATTACACAAAATTCTCAGAGTCGATGGTGTCATTGTTTTTAAAAAGTACGTCACCTTGTTTAAAAAAAATGATAAATCTCATTTTTAATACCATGAAAAAAACTTCTTATTTTTATATGTTCATAAAAAAATGGCGTTACGCTATTCAG